TATATATGCATATTTATAAGTATCCTCTCAACTATGTATTATCTTACGAAAAAACCCCTCCTATTGATAAATTTTTACGTGTTTTATTCGGTAAAATTGTTCGAAATTGCGGGGTACATCAAAATTTCATACACCTAGTTTAACATTTGGTTCGATAAATAACCGATTTACCATTTTTTTTTATCAAAAATGTTTAAAATTTTGATTTTTTTATTTTTATTTAATTAATTTTAGTTTAACTAATTATATATATATATATACACGAAAATGAATTTTCGTTCTATTCGATTCGATCGGTTTACCGGCCGAATGAACACCTCTAGGTAAATTTAAAATCGTAAAGGTGGACGTGTATAGCTGAGAGGATAATTGTAATTATCCAAACAAAAGGGGTTTTTCGTAATTATATTTTACCTCAGGAATGGTTGTAATTATGCAAATAAAATGAGTTTTTCATAGTTATACCTTACCGAGGGACTTACCTCAGGATGACGGTAATTTACCCTTTTACCCTGCATATATATAGTAGATTTCTGAATATTGATTACAACAGGAATTGAGAAGGGTGTCATTATGGTGAGCATTTGGCTCCATTGGTTGATGCAAGCTTACCCAAAGAGAGGTAAAATAAATTAATTTATATGTCTATTTAATTTTGATGTAATCATTTGTAATTTTAAAATTTATTCAGAGAGATTGGATATTTTTGTCTTTGAAGTTGATTATATTGTCCGTATTTCGTCACAGATTTACACACAATCACACACACATGCGAATGATCTCACAAGTCATTAGATCTTCATTAGTATATATGATTAAATAGTTAAAAATATATATACCTACAGGAAAATTGCATCTCCGGTGAGGAAATTAGACGAGAAAAGTACGTTTCAGGCAATTAAAAAGACGGAGAGTCCAAAGTGTACCGTCGATGCGGCTGTGCCACCGAAGAAACCAAAGATCATCCTCCTCTCACCACCACAACCGCCGTGGAAAATGAAAACCGATGACACCGATCAAGATTTCAAACTAGATTCCGATAGCGATTTCGATCTAGATTTCGATCGAGATTCCGATCGAGACTCCAAGCGAGATTCCGATAGAGATTCCGATCGGGATTCTGATCGAGATTCCAATCAAGATTCCGATGAAGATGTCACGGAGGCAATGCCACCGGAGAAACCAAAGATCGTAATACCATCGCTGCCAACGCCACCACCACCACTTTCGTGGCAAATGAAAATCGATGATTCCGATCAAGATTCTGATCGAGATTCCTATGAAGATTCATATGAAGATGTCATGGAGGCAGTGCCACTGGAGAAACCAAAGATCGTCCCATCACTGTCACCGCCACCACCGCCTCCACCACCACCACCACCACCACTACTTCCGTGGCAAATGAAAAGCGTTGATTCCGATCAAGATTCCGATCAAGATTCTGATCGAGATTCAAATCAAGATTCCGATCTAGATTCCTATAAAGATGTCACGGAGGCAATGCCGCCACTCCCATCACCGCCAACGCCAACGCCACTACCACAACCGATGTCACCGCAAATGAGAAGCAATAGTTTTGAAGATTCCTCCAACAACATGTACTTCGATTCCTCAAGTGATCACGAAGAGTTCTCCGCCACCAGCTCCGGCGAGGACGAGGCGGCAAATGGTGGTGAGGAGGAGGAGGACACGTGGACAGTTGTCATGGATTATTATTCTCATGAAGCATATGTTGACAGTTGTATTTATAGTTTTCTATTCATGATTGCCTTACTTTTCTTTGTGCTTGTCCATCTATAGTTGTACTTCACTCCATTTGCTTAATGTTGATGCTTGCTTTAATAATGCATATTGTTCTTTATTTTTATAATTTATATCAAATATTACTCAACATTTTTTTAATTTAATTAAAATAAATAAATAAATACAATAAAATATAATATAATATAATTTAAAAATTACTTATATAAATAGTGGTATAATTAAATAAACTACATATTTTGGTGTTTGTTAAAATTTATTTATAAATTATATAATCTAATACTAATGTTTTGACTTTTGAAGCTACAGAAATAACCGTTTATTATATGCAGCTTAACATTTGGTTCGATAAATAATCGAATAACCAAAATTTTATTAAAAAAATTTTAATTTTTTTTTTAAATTAATTTTAATTTAAATACTAATATTACATATATAATATAAAATAAAACTGAATACCACACCGAATTAACGGTTCGTTAACCAGCATGCACAAATTTTCGTTCGGTTCGATATTAAAAAACCCAGGTTGAACCGGTCCAACCGTGACCCGAATGTCTATCCAGTTTTGTGGTCGGTCCGGTTATAAAAACATTGATAATAACTAATAATAATAATAAAAAGTTTATAAGTTGGGACCCACCCGTACCACCTTCTAGAGAGAGAAAGCACTTCCCGCGTCTAATCTGTTACGAAAAACCTTCGGCGACGACCAGCCCTTTTCCAGCGATTAGGTTTTTCGATTAGGTTTTCTTTTCTGTATTTTCTCCTTCTTTCCGCTCCTGATTGTGATTTTAATTTTATTTTCTTTTTTCCCTTTTTTGTGATTTTAATTTAATTTTCTTTTTCCCCATTTTTTGGGCAAAGGATTTGTTGAAAACCCTCGAATGGACATATATAAACCCAAATACGGTGGGAGGAGAAGTTTCCTCAGTTGAGCTGTCTCAGAGGTTTTCTTTCTGTTGCGATTTCTTTTTTCTTCCTTTCCGGGATTAGGGTTTATCAGTGGTATAAAAAATGCATAGAATTATTCTGCGTTTTTTTGTGATGATTGGATGATTGGTGGATGAAATTAAGAAAAAAAGAAGCAAATTCTGAGATTCTCTGTTTTTTTTTAGAATTTTCGGCAATTAATGACTTTGAGAAAAATATTTTGCCCAATTAGATAATAAGTTTAGTTTAAAGACTCAATTTTTATGTGCCATTTTAGCTGAAAAGACAGGATAATATGGATATTGAAATAGTTGGAGTTAATTAGTTTTGCTTAATATATGCAGATGGGCGGGAGCAATTGCAATAGTGTATACATGAATCTCCCTTATTGCTTGATTACATGTAAAAATCAGAGGAGTTCGACAAACATAGACTCTCTTTTCGATGAATTGGTGTTGGAAATTCTCGTACATCTTCGAGCCGAAGATATTTTCGATGCGGCCATGGTTGTTTGCCGCAAGTGGTACCGTATGATCCATACCCATAATTTCATATACTCACACCTTCAGAATTCAGCTCCCGGACTTTTAATCCACTATGGCTCAATTACTAATCGTCCGACTTTTGTGTCGATGGACGTGGAAGGAAGAATCGAGATATCCAAGACTGTTTACAAGTTTATCGAGTATTGCTGGAGTAGTTGTAATGGTTTGACATTGTTGTATTCTCCCATGGACTATGATGGTCTCTGCATTTCAAACACCGTAACTAAGCAACTTATCGAACTCCCTAAATATCGTGACACGGTGTATAATTATACCGGTATAGCATACGCTCCGGCTTCGATGGAGTATAAAGTGGTTATCATATCCGATAGTCACGACATGTATGGTACTGCTCCAGCTGCGCTCTTAGGTTGTGTTATAGCGACTGTCGGAGTCGACAAATCTTGGAGGTGTGTTCGTATACAACACTTGTCTCTCGAATCTAAGGAGCTTTTCAAGAATGTTCCGTTGACGACCGAAGGGTTCTTGCATTGGACGAGCGGAGAAGTTGGGACGACTCGTATGTTGACTTTGAATGTGGAGACCGAGGTTATTACGGAGATTCGTGTACCTCAACGAGGTTGTAATAACAATGGAAGTGGACAAGAATTGAGGTATTATTTGTCCAATGGGAGGTCTCTGACTATGCTCGTTTCACGCAGTAAATTTTCGTGGGATGTTTGGGAGTTGAAGAAGCCGGAAATTGGAGAATGGACGAAGATTTTCCACATCGACTTGGAAGGGCAAAAGGGGAAATTCGAGCATTTTGCGGTGCCTATAATTGATCTTGACCCAGTACCTCTAACACTACAACCCGTCGGTTGGTTGAATTACTACGAAGGGTTGGTATTTCAAGTTTGCCGTCCAGCTGAGGGTTGCTTCGTGTACAAACTTGGTAAGCAAGAAATCGAGATTCTTGATTTTGAGTTGATTTGTTGCTACATCAAATGTGTTGTTCATAAAAACAGCCTCGTGGGGTTGCGTACGTACGGTGGATTTTCATCTCTAACACCCCGACACCTCTTACCCTAGAACCGATTGCTTGGTGGAAGTACAAAGAGGGTTTGATCATGCGAGTTTTCGTTCCACCTCTTGTTTCCATCAAAGGATTGCTTCGTGTACAATGTCGGTAAGCAAGAAATCAAGTTTCTTGATTTGAATCCGTATTGTCATTGCTTTTACGCTCATATTTAAAGAAACAGCCTCGTCTGGTTAGATGGATGATGTTGTCATCTCCAGTTACGAGCTTTCGATATTTATGTATCTCGTTTTATCTTCTTAGACAAAATTATTAAATCATATCTACCCTCTTTTTTTCTTTTCTTGTTTTTTTTTTCATTGTTTACTTGCTTGTAGTATCAAGGAAGCATGTGAAAGATTTATTTGCATAGAGAGTAATCAATACCAATTCTGCATTTAGTATAGAACCAGTTGGTTGGTTAAATTACCACAAAGGGTTGCTAGTCCAAGTTTGCAGTCCAACTGAGGGTTGCTTCGTGTACGAAGTTGTTAATCAAGAAATCGAGGTTCGTCGGTTGGGTATTTGTTGCTACTCCATCAAATCTCTCGTTCATAAACACAGTGGTTTTATGGATGATTGGATGATGCCACTGGCTTTCGACTTTTATAGGAACGGTTGCTTGCGGATATTTATGCATCTCGTTTTTTCTTATCTTTTTAGACGATTTTTGATAAATTATGAGGTCGATTTGATTTTAAAACGAAGCAAAAAACAGGGTTTTGTCGAATGAGATGTGTAGATTATGTTCTACTAGCTATCTTTTTTTCATTCAGTAAAAAATAAAATTAAAATAAGAATTAAATTTAATTAAAAATAATGGACCCAAACAAAATTTAGCAATAAATGCTTCGAAATAAGTCGATTTTATCGCCTTCTCATTCCACGACCACGACCTCGACCTCTACCACCCATAGCACTTGCAGCAGCTTCTCCTTGTGCACTCTCAGACTAATTCATCATCATGGAATAATCCCAACATTGAATTAATATATAATAAGACCAAATTAAGGGGGGTTATAATTTTGTATTACCTTGGGGTTTTTCACTGTTTCGTCGACACTTAAGACGAGGCAAGCAGCTTCTGTAGCTGCATTTATGGCGTTGATCTTCGAAACCAAAGATCATTTTTTTATTTTTTATTTTTTGAAAAACACAGCAAGCATTAGAAGTGTAACATCAGATAATCTACATGGGCTATAAAACTAATAGGGTTATAGAAAAGTACCTTCACAACTGAGGGCTCCCACACAAAGTTAGCAAATGAATCGGCAATTCCGCCGGTGTTGATATCTACACCATACGCTGCACCGTCTCCTGTTTGTATAGATCTAAACTCCATCAAATCCACGTTTTACATCTGAGAAGCTAAAAGAAATAAAGAAAAAAAAAAATAGGCAATTTCACGATAAAGAAATATCGAGCTAACCAGATGGAAGTGCGTGTTTTTGTCTCAATTTGTTCAACACATCCGTTGCATCGAACCCAGCATTATCACACAGTTGTCGTGGGATAACCTACGAAAAACCAGCAATCACTACACGTAAGCCGAAGTGCTTTATTCAAATTTTTAGCATCAGTAAACACAGGCTGGAGCGTAAGTTTATATATCTATCTTGGAAGTGCTTGTATCAAAGAACTCAGAAATCGTTGCCACCAAAGAGTAAAAAAGCTATTTTCTCACAAGATTTACCTCAAGGGCTTTTGCGTAAGAGTTTATAAAGAGTTGAGACTTCCCAGCAATCGTACGTGCATGCTGCCTCAAGTACCGGCTTATCTCCATCTGCAGACACGCAAAATATCAAAACCGCAATTTTGAACATCTTTAAATGCACAAAAAGAAAAATTAAAAGAGAAAGAAAAAAAAAGGATAACTCGTACATCAATAGCACCGCCACCAGGAACTACAGTCGAGTTTTTCATAGCTCTTCTAACAATCATAATAGCATCATGTAAACTTCGCTCTGCCTCCTCAATAAACTAAAATCATCGAAGTCAACAATTAGAACCAAGTTACAAATCGTGAAGAAAAGAGCCTCATCGTAATAATCATAAACCTGATCTGCACCACCACGAAGAACAAATGTGGCAGTCCGACCAGATGGGCATCCACTGAATATGTTAAATCGCTCATTTCCAACTTGCCTCTCTTCAAATAGGTCACATGTTCCAAGTACCTTTCAATTAGGAGAAAAAAGATGAATTTCAGCTGTCAGTTAACTGAGATAGGCCGTTCACTTAAATTTATGAAGTGCGTTATTTGAGAGGCAGGAATCTCCATTTAGTTATTTTCAGTTAGCGAGACAAAAGGACAGGAGTATAACCTCGTCAACAACATTGTTCACAGTTGTCTGCACAGTTCCACCGCTAGCTGCCGCAACTCGCTGCAGATCTTCTTCACTAACACGACCAGCACAAAAAATATCACGATCTGCAAAATACTGCCCACAAACTATAAATTAATTAAGTTCACTGAGAAACTCTTCCTTTCCCATGTCATAAATTCAAGAATGTTTAATTTCCCCTAAAACTTATGATCTAAATTTATTAGGAGCCACAAACAGCCTATCTCAATCAGATTACCATTGATCCAACGATTCTTGAACAAATCGGTATACATAAGCTACATTTGCCATTTTAGCGAGAACTATAAGTACTAACGATAACTCATCTTATGATTTTCCTCAGAATAACTTCGAGAGACAAGTAACAACGTTAAAACTGGTACCTGAGTAGCCAGATCACCGATTGCGAGCCGTGACAGAACAACCTTGGCTCCACTCTTCGCACATTTATCCAACTTGTCGTAAATGATATTCCATTCTGCGTCTACAATTGACTGATACTGTAATGGATCTGACAGCCTGTGGTATTGAAAGAAAGAAAAGATAAACAAGTGTTTTTTTTCTCTGAAATTAGCACAAGACAATGATGCAGGAGGTAGGAAAAATCGAAAAAAGGTAATTATATACCTAATCTCTGCATTCTCTTTCTCTGATTTTAACTCCAATTCTATGTTTAGCAAAAGTATCTTAGGATTTACAAATTTCTTCGGTTGCTGCTCAAAACCAGCATACGAGAATGTCTTTTTGAAAGCAACACCATTCACAAGAAAAGAATCCCTCATTGTACCTCCAGGAACCTACAAAAGTAAATTAGTACAAAATTGGCATAACAACAAATCGGAGGCAGAAAGTATAGAGTGAAATAGGACGAATGCAACTGGTATATTTAATAAAAATTCCGTATTGCTGAAGTGCAGTTCATAAAAACAGTTGCAAATACAACATAATCCATTCGCATATTGAATATGCTCATATTGGACAGTGACCCAACCTAAACACATGTTAACCTTAGTTCTTGAGAAGAATAATTTTGTACATGAGTACCCGGAATCGAACCCAAAGTAGGCCTTACAAATGGCAGGCTAACATTTGTTGCTTATTGATGCATGCATGAGTTCTTGAGAAGAGTAATTTTGTAAATGAGCATCCCAAACTAGCCAATTGATTATTTGAAACCTTGTTTGCCAGCAGATAACTAAAAATTGCATGAATAGGATCATAATTCAAGTCTTTCAAGAAAATTTTAAGCACAAGTTTCACATACCTTCTTGATTCCAATCATGTTTAACCTATCCTCGTTTCCTATGGCAAGGACTGCATCCACAACCATGGTTGCAAAAAACTCCTTCTCACCACCAATGAGCTTTGAAGATAGTGTTGTAGCAGCACATTTAGCCAGTAGCTTTTTCTTTTCTTCCAAGCTTTTTCCCTCTATGCTACTAGCTAATTCTTTGATCTTCTCAATCGCCTGTTAAGTTAACCAAAAAGAAGGAAAAACAGAAATTCAAGAAGCTTATAGAGTTAACCCAATTTCAAACAGAACAAAGTTAACCTTCAAACCTTACCAAATTAGAAGCTGTTCGATAACTTCGTATAAGGTTTTGAGGGTGAACTCCATCGTCAACAAAAGGTTTTGCTTCCTTCAGGAATTCTCCTGCGAGCAAAACGACTGTAGTGGTTCCATCGCCAACCTGTCGGACATGTATAATGTAGCTACAGGTTAGTTGAGAATGCAATATAAGCCAAGATGAACCTTACGGATCACAATTTGGGCTACACCTCAACTTTAGTATTAAAAAAAATTTAAAAATACACCCTCGTAATAAATAATTGATTTATCACATGCCCATTGGTCTCTGTACATGGATACATTTTTCGATTCTACTCTATCAAGAGACATCAGAAGATAGCCACAAAAACTCAAAATCTTCCAAATATTAATTCGGTCAATCAAATTTACAAATAGTCCATTACTATCAAATGAAATAGTAGCAAATATCATACAAATAGTTACATAAGCCATCTTCAAATAGAACTCAATCAAACTAGTATTTTTCATATCCATTATTTTTGGCTAAAAGTATATTATAGAAAAAAAGTGGCAATTGACAGCACAATAATAAAAATAATAATAAATAATAATAATACCTCAGAATCTTGGGACTTTGCAATATCAACAAGAATCTTGGCAGCAGGATGAATAATGTCGAGAAGCTTCATTATGGTAGCACCATCGTTGGATATGGTTGTGTTCCCCTTTTCATTGTGGATCAACTTGTCCATGCCTCGTGGACCGAGAGTAGTCCGCACAACATCAGCCACAGCCATGCACGCATTTATGTTGCTTATTAATTGCGGTTTTCCTTGGGATGCGTCGGTCCCTTCCTTGAGTAGTATGATTTGTGGTTGCTATTGTTCGATCACCATCATCACAAATTACAATTAGCTTTAGCACAAATAGATCAATGGATTTATAGGGGAAAAAAAAATAATAACAGTAAAATCATACACATATTTAAATGAAGGAATCAAGGCACGGAAAACGGGAGTAAAATGAAGGAAGTTACATAATAATTAGTTAATTACAAAAACAACATTGCAAAATTCCAATTTATAACTAAACGGAAATTGCTGCTAATTCTAAAACATGATCGTCTAGCAATTGGACAATTGGTTGGTTACCTGGCAAAAATCCCAATAACATGAATAAATGTAAAATTTAATTCATGGGAATTGACAAGCACATTCATTTTCTAACTTTTGCAAGCTACTTCATATATTTAGGTAAATTAACACAATTGCCCTTTGATTCGTTACATGATAGTTGAAGGCGGCAGCGAATGCTTATAAACGACTACGATCTCTTTTTCGTTATTGAATTCATTTTTTTTTTACCATCTATTTGCAGAGTTCTACAAAATTATCGATCCGACGATGAAATGAACCAATTAGAGCTAACGGAGAACAAACAAAAACACATGCAAAGAACCGAATCACAGTAGAAAATAAAACAGTAACACAAACACAAGTAGCGTCGATTAACCGGAAAATGCAGCGTCGCACAATGTGCAGAGAGAGAGAGAGAGAGAGAGAGAGAGACAGAGAGACAGAGAGATTCAGTCGCTCGAATCGAGTTTAAATGCAGTACAACATATAAAGAGAAAGGTAGATCAAGCTCACCATCATGGCTGACATTGTTGGATTTGAGTTTATGAGTGAAGAGTGTCCTTTCTAGAGAGAGAAGAGGAGAGAGAAGGAATATTAGGAGAATGTTCTAGGGTTTTTATAAGTCTCGTCTTGGGGGGTTTCCGGTGTTTCTCTTTTTGAAACTTTAGGGCGTGTTTGGTTTGATTAGTAATTAAATCAAATGAAAATCAGGTTTAAGCTCAATTTAAAACAACGTACATTCGATCTTAATTCGAATGATTTTATTCTATTTTAAATTTTATCTTCTGCATAATATTTCATACATGTACAAATTTATATAGTTATCTATTCAGAAAAATCGGAATATTTTATAAATATGGTAAATTACGGCCACCCTATGAGGTAAAGATCAAATTACGAAAAAACTCCATCATATATTCCTATTTAGATAATTACAATTAACGATGAATATTCTTACACAAATCCACTTTTATGGTATCAAATTCAATATAACTTTCTAGATTTTGTGGAATATTCCCTAATTTGTATTTGTTTTATGCAAAAATGTCGTTTCTGACGCATCACAATCTGATATTTACAAGTCGAGACGCATTTTACGATCATCTTGTTTTAAAATGTGAAGCTCGAATGTTGAAAAATGGGTACAAGTTGGAGAAGATTCCACATAATCTAGAAAATTCCATAAATTTGACACTGTAGTGGTAGACGTGTAAGAAGATTCATAGTTGAGAGGTACCCAAACATGTGGGATATTTTCGTAATTTGACCTTACTCAGGGGTGCGACCGTAATTTACCATTTTAGTTATATGCTTGAAAATAATATATAATAGAGGTTGATTTTATTGCTAAAAAATATATTACTAAAAATATGAGTTTTATTGCTAAATTAATTTGGTATAAATACAAAAACAATTGAAACCAGTCCTCAAAGAAAAGGATAGTGTTTGTTGTCTACGTGTCCGCATTATGGTGGCCATGAGTTTCTCCTCTGTATCACTCCGCCCATCGGAGCTGCCGGCCACCGCCTCCAACCGCTGCAGATCCACCGCGTATCTTACCAGAAGAAGACCAATCTCAATTTCTTTCGCCGCTGTTTCGCCGGAAACCTCCAGTGCACCCCCGGCGAAACCTGAAATCGAGCTAGAATTCCTCGGGGTACTTACATTAATCATCACTAATTTTCTCTGAGTTTCGATCTATTATCACTAATTAGTGCCCTAATTTTTAGTTAACTGCTAATTTATTGTTCGTTCACTCATCTGCTACTCTCACTGGTTGCAATATTTAATTGAGTAATTTAGTTTTAAATCTGCGATGAGAACTTTAAAGGGGAAATTACAGTTTTCATCCATCAAGTCTGCATCGATTTCACATTTGGTCCCCATGTTCACAAAAAACACATTTGGTCCCTCATGTTCCAATAATTTAACACTTTTGGTCATTACCGTCAATTTACCGTTACTCTGTTAGTTAAGGAAGTCATGAAACACGCTTAATTCCGTTAGTTTTAATGGAAAATTGACGGAAATGACTAAAAGTGTTGAATTTTTGAAATATAAGGCATCAAATGTGAATTCGGTGCAAACTTTAGGGACGAAAACTGTATTTTTCCCGAATTTTAAAATTAATTGCATTTCGCTATTTTATATATATATATATATATATATATATATATATATATGTTATTATTATTGTTTTTTCGATTTCAGCCTAAACCAGGAGATACAGTAGACAGAGCCATAGCTATAAGTGGAGATAAGCTGCTAAGGACAATAATGTCTGATAATAAGCTTGAGCTCTATGCCGCTTATGTAAGTATACACACACACACACACACACACACACACACACACACACACACACACACACACACACACACACACACACACACACACACACACACACACACACACACATATATGTGTGTGTGAATTTATAATCTACATATTTGTGAGCAGAGGTTGAGAATCAAGATTTCAAACAGAAGAAAGTATGTTGATATAGTAATATTAGTGATGCTATTTATATTATTAGCAAGTTTGTGATTATTGATTTTTTTTTTTTCCGATAGGGGAAGCTAATGAATTGTGGAGGTGGCGGAAGCTGCGGAACTTGTATCGTAGAGGTAAATAATTATTAGCTTCTTATGTAGTTCTATCCAATTATTATTGCTTGAAGCATTAAATCTTTTAAATTTGAGTTAACGACACGTTTTCAAACATATATGAAAAAGACTTCAGGAAAAGATGCTCGGATTAGATAAACGTGATGAAATCTTGTTTATGTGTATAGCCTTCTTTAATATGGAAAAACTCGAGAAAAATACGAGATATTAAGCCATCTTCAGTATTGACTTATTAGCTGAAATGCCTTTTGTCTGTTGACTTATTTTTGACTACCGTACAGATAGTCGATGGACAGGATCTCCTAAACGAAAGAACTAATACAGAGCTGCGATATCTTAAAAAGGCATGTTTACGCACTATGTGGTCTCATTAGTAGTTTTCTTTTTCTCCAAAAGATTCTTTCGATTTTCAAGAATCGTAATTTTTATTTTTTTTCCCGTGTCGTTAAAAGCTGGTTGCTTCCAATGTTTTTAATCGATGTTTACAGAAACCAGAGTCGTGGAGGCTGGCTTGTCAAACTATAGTAGGAAACAAAGACAACTCTGGAAAGGTATTTTCGTGATTGCAGGTTGTGTCCACATGTATTACATACAACTCAATATTGGCTACAGATTTTAGAAATTTATAAGAAAAAAAATTTCGAAGTTGTTGAAAATCTTGTTTGCTAAAAGCCCATACGAATCCACTTTATTATTACGAATTTTCATTCATTCACTGCGATTATTACAGTTTTTGTCATGTTTTTGGCTGTTATTATGTTGCAGGTGGTTGTCCAAAGGCTGCCCCAATGGAAAAAATGAAAATCTTAGAAGAAATTTCCGAAATTATTTGAATATAATTTTTGTATATGTTTCGAAGATCGAAAATCAAAAGGGTCTATAAGCTTGTTCTTCCTTTTGCTCTTATGTGGTAATGTAGCAGTTTTATGTGTGTTCATTCTTTACCCTCTAATTGTGCGCAGTTTCATATTTCGGCAGCCGAAAAAATTGTATTACACTGGATTTCGTTATCTAAAGACAAATACGGGTAGATTATGAGTAAAACGAGTCATGAATTTCTTGCCACTTTAGTACAATCGTCTACAACGCTAAACCCTACACGGAAAATTGAAGTTCTAAGACCCGTAACTTAGAAACAGAAGTAGAAAAAACACATAAAAACTTGTTAGAATACCACGAGCGAAAAAGATCAGTAGCCATGTAGAACTCGCTTCAAGAAATATCTTCGGAAAATATAATGTCGTATATAAATTGCACTGCACGGGAAATGATAACAACGGAATGTTAAGTCTAGGCCAAAACATTTTGAGAAGAAAAATATCACAATTAAAAAAAATTACGTATTAAAATTTCATAAAGACGAGGTTTATCAAGAATTGATGATATAACTCATGCATTGGCTGAAATTGTATGAATATAAACCACAAAGTACATTCTCGTAATGGGAATTCAGCTTTCGTTTTTTACCTTCCTCTCGAGGAATATTAGGTTGATCGACCAGGAGTTGTTGGAGCGCAGATAAATCACCACTTGCGCTGAAACGAAATAAAGCCACACAACGGATTAATACAAAAATTCACCAAAGGAGTGTAAAAACCGACTATCATCAAAAGAAAAGAAAAAACTCAACAGTCATTCATCTCCAAAGAAGGGCTTAGAAACGAGCCGTATGTAAACATACCTAGGTTTCAACGCAATCCCCGGAAGTGCCGAAACTATAGATAATTTAAGACCATACCTGCAAGCAAATAATAACTTAAAATCGAAATTTTCACATCCATAATAGACAGATAAAGATTATCCATCAACGCATAACTTTTTTTTATTCAAACCGCAAAAATCAGCAGAAAAACGGGGGATCATTACTCTGATTGATGCATTTCTTGAAGAAGTCTAAGTCCGTCTAAACAATCCGCAAGGGTTGGTTTTACGCCGACCCTTTGCCTCAGTTGCTTTGCAGTTGGCTGCGCGGAACCCACTTTTACGAGCTGTTTGCTATCACGAACTATTTTCTCGAGCGATCTGACAACACTGTGAAGCTCTTCCCTGTAAATCGATCGATCACGAACTATTCTACTCAGTGAATTTCAAGTGAATGCATACATTTGAACAGAATTAAAGAAACTAATCCCATAAAAGCCCTAATATTTAATCTATTTCCAATCAACAGATTTTCCCCCAAAAAAAAAAAAAATTGAAAAATGAAAAGTAACACTACATTGTCTTGTTCATGGAGATGAAGATGTTTTGGAGGGAATCCATTTGCTTTGCTAATACAGCATCTTGTATGCCATCAACACATTTCAAACCCCCAAAATTATTACTATTTTGGATGACCTATTATTCAAATTAAAAAAAAAAACCAGAAAATAAGAAAAATAATCTTCAAAAGAAGGGTGGGTAGATATTAATAATTATATGGAAATAAAAAAAGGGGAAAACCTGCAATCTCTGAATGATGGAAGAAGCATTGGAGAATTGGGAAATTAGTCGCGAATGAAGCTCTTCCCATTGGGACATCTCATCCTTCACTTTCCTGAATCGTTGTTGGTATTTTCTCACTATCGATTCCATCACTTGAACCCTAATTCAGTGCGCCGGCGTTAATCGCCGCCGTGCCGCCTAATTGCACCGCCGGTGGTCCGGTTGAGAAGAAGGACGCGATTCTTAATTTTTTGCTTTTAAAATCCATATCGTGTTTTTGTGCGGTAAATAGAAAAGTAAAGTTTGATTTTTTTTTTAATTGTCTTTTTTATTTGAGTATTTTGAATAATCTTTTTATATATTAATTAATTAATAATGTTTTTATATTTATAATTACATATTTAGCCCACTCGAATAATTTGAATCACCACAAGAATAAATGGTAAATTAATTTATAAAATAAATAACTAAATACAAAAAAATTAATAAAATAAAAAAATTGGTAAATTACAACCACACCTGAGGTATGGTTAAATTACATCTACACCTGAACTATGATTTTTTCTTACACATCCGTCCTTATGGTATTAAATTCAACATAATCATCTAGATTTCATGGAATGTGCCCTAGTTTATACTCGTTGTAAAAATACAGTTTCTGATGCACCACAACCTAATATATACAAGCTAAAAAACACATATTATGATAATCTTGCTTCATAATGTGGAGTTCAAATGGGATAAAACGTGTACAAAAGTAATAATATTCCATATAATCTCGAAGATTCCACTAAATTTGAAACCGTAAGGGTGAACGTGTAAGAAAATTTATGGTTGAGAGTAGTTATAATTACCCAAACAAGATGGTGGTTTTTGTAATTTCGCCATACCTTAATAAGTGTTTGTAATTTACCCAAATTAAAAAATTGAAAGAGTGTAAATAGAAGAGACATTTAGACCCTCATTCAACCAAAAGTGTGTCGTCAACTCAGACGAATAGATGTTTGACTATTTTAGGAACCATAATTAGTACAATTTTGGCTACTTATTTTTTTTTATATTCAGGGTAAATTACAAATACCCCTGAGGTATGACCAAATTACAAAAACACCCCTCTTGTTTGGATAATTACAACCACCCCCTCAACTCATCAAATTTAGTGGAATCTTCGAAATTATATGGAATATTATCACTTTTGTACCCGTTTTATCCCATTCAAACTCTACATTATGAAGCAAGATGACCATAATATGTGATTTTTAGCTTGTATATATCAGTTTGTGGTGCATCGAAAACTGTATTTTTTACACAAAAAGTACAAACTAGAGCACATTTCACGGAATCTAGATGACTATGTTGAATTTGGCACCATAAAGGTAAGAAAAAATCATAGTTGAGGGGGGTAGATGTAATTATCCAAACAAGAGGGGGGTTTTTTGTAATTTAACCATACCTCAGGAGGGTATTTGTAATTTACCCTTATATTCACGTTCTTTGAAGTTGATAGCAAATCTTCATCTTTTTTTTTTATTATTATTATTTCTGTTGATGAATTCACTTCTGGCCCCTTTATAGGGTACATCTCTGAATTTCCAGGTTTATCACCCCTATACTTACTATATTCGTGCATGCAATTTATGTCACATTCATATCACATATTTTCTAATTTTCAATTGACCATTTTCTCCTTCATTTTTTTAAATATCAAATAAACTCCTACTACGTTAAAATATTTTAAATACAATTTTGTTCCCCATATATTTAATTTGTAGCTTATGCATGTTGTTTATTTTGTATGTGTATAAAAAGCAAATGTAAATTTATATAAAATTTTGTTTAATACTAATTAAAAAAAAACAAAAAATTAATTAATTACCTGTGTGCCACACAGGTCTAATAAGGGACAACTAGAACAAAGATAACAGATTTATACACGGTGTTAACCCTAGCTCGAAAAATTAAGAGATTATTATCAACTTCTTCCCCATCCTCTGCAAAGAACAACAATTAAAAAAAATCGCTCTTAGATTCATTCAAGACTAATTAAGTAGAGAACGAAGAGTAAAATATTGATAACTAAAAGCAAAAATGAAAAAAAAAAAAAAAAAGTGATTATTACCTACGATTAAAGTGATTGGAAAATTTTTATTAATTTAGTGAATTATTAAATTATCGAGTTACTAATTTAATCCGAGAGAAACTATTATATTAATTTATCAAGGTTCTACTGTATATATACAAGCTCGGAAGGACGGAGAATTTTAACAAACTCTTCATAGTAAAGTGTGAATGAAACCCTAGCTCGAAAAATTTGGGGATTCGGATCAAGACCTTACGGCACGCGCGAAGGAATAGGCTTTGCCTTAAACATCAAATCCATCGTTGATTAATCTCCAGATGCCCGCAGCAGCTTCGTCAAATTGAATTTCAGATCCTAATAATAAATTGCATGGAAGAAGCAATTTATTATTAATCAATTGATCATTTATCAACAGCAGGATTTAATTTATTTATTTTTTAAAAAGGAAAAAAAGTTGGAAAAGAATACATGTGTTTTATTATTATTATTATTATTATTATTATTATTATTATTATTATTATTATTATTTTGTGTACCTTTAACGTTTCTTAATTTGTTCGCCTTTTAAATCTATATCGTGTTTTCGTGTAGTTTGATTTTTTTATTTCAGTATTTTCAGTAATCTTTTTATATTAATCAATAATGTTTTTATTATTTATAATTATAATGCAAGAGTTTTTTTCACCCATTCGTAAGAAAAAATCGATTTTGGCCTGATTCTGATTTTAAGTTAAATTAACTTAATACATATATTTTTGCAGAAACAAGAATGAATGGTAAATTAATTTATACAATAAATAATTAAACCAACAAAAAAAAAACAATTAAAAATTGAAAGAGAGTAATTAGAATAGACATTTATACCCTCATTCGATCAAAAGTGTGTCTGTCAACTCAAACAAATATATGTTTGACTATTTTAGGAACCAAAATTAGTAAGTTTGAGTTTTGAACTAGTTATTTCCCAAAGAGTCATTATGAGGCTAAATCAGTAATTTCTCCCTCTCTCTCTCCTCTCATGCTTGTAGTGTGTGTGTCTGCATTTTCTTAAAAAAATTCCAGTGATACTTTCCTCCTCACCTCACAGAAAACACTGCATCCTATTTTTTCTCCTCTGCAAATATCTTCCTTTTAAACCTAAGTTGGTCGTCACTTTGTCTCTCCTCTATTTAGCATGTGACCTCCCTAGGGTTTTCGATTTTCTTCATTCTCTTTTTTTTTTTTCTTTACACCTTCATTTGTGGGTGTTTTTATTTTACCCAAAAACAAAAAGAAAAAAATTAAAAAACGCGTCAATAAATTCAATTTTCGACAACGAATTCAAAGCTCTCGTTCGCAGAAATCTTCATCAGATTGCCCCCTTTTCGTCAGACCCTCGTTATCTGGTCCGTAATTCTTTCCAACTTTTCATCTGTGATTTTTTTTTCATAATTATATTCAGGTAGTTTAATTCGTTGTCGTCGATAATTAGTTGATTACTTTTCAGTTTTTGTTTTTAATTTCTCTGTTGCATTTGAGTTTGAATTTTCAATGTTTACACCGAGGGTTTGTTGAATTTTTTTTTTTATTTGTTGATTTCATTTTCGCCGATAACAATTCGGAAGATGGTCAACGATCTAATGTTATTGAGGGATTGTATTTTTGGGGGGTTTGAAAACTAATTTAGGTTACGAAGTTTGAATTTAATCCGTCTTTTCTTTGTCCATCATGTGAAAATGGTGTTTATCTGTTGTAATGATGGGGTTAGGTATTCGAATTGTATTTGGGGCTAGGGTTAAGTATTTAAGATTGTTGAGTCGAGTTAAATAAATACAGTTTACTGTGCATTTACGACGCCGTAGTACGTTTGCACATTGTTTAGTTTTTTCGTTTATTTTCACGTTGTTCCGTTGATTGTGTGTGTGTGTGTGTGTGTCTGTGTGTGCGTGTGTGTGCGTGTGTGTGTGTGTGTGTCTGTGTGTGTGTGCGCGTGTGTGGTTTTCATTTCTTTGAAGTTCATAACAGATGTTCATTTTTTTGTTTCATTATTGTTTTTCTTTTATTTTGTGAATTTTTTTATGTTTTCTGTTGATGAAGCCGGCCCTAGTTCTGGATTTCTCCGGTTTGATTCCAAATTCAAACCAAAAACTTTTGCAGCCTTAGTTTTTTTATTTTTGGCCTCTACATTTATGAATTTTCAGATTTAGCATCCCCATCTTTGCTATATTAGTCTAATGTCACTTTCAAATCACATTTTTTTTCAATTTTCAATTGACCACCCACATTAATTTCTTTTTTTAATTTTATCTCAAACAAAGAAAGAAAGAAAAAGAGTTAGGTTATTATTACTATAAATGGATTTTATTTTTCAGCCTATTTTCCTCATTTCTTGAAAACCCAAGAACAACTCCTCCCATCTTGCTTTAAAATATTGGCACATTCTAATCACATTTTTTTTTCAATTTTCAATTCATGACCATTTTCTCCTTCAATTTTTTTAATCTCAAATAAACTCCTACCACGCGGTTAAAATATTATAATTAATACAATTTTAATTTGTTCCCCATATATATTTAATTTGTTAGTTATGCATGTTGTTTATTTTGTAAAGGAGGAGGCAAACATCATGTCTGATGTGCAATCAAAAAGCTACGTCAATCTGCTGAAGAAATACAATCATGTCAAATTAACAATCTATGAACAATGTGGTGAAGATAATATAAAAAGCAGTAATAAATTAAATTATCAAATTTCATTCACCATTATTACTTTTAAAAATTCCATTTTATTTATAAAAAAAAATTAAAAAAAATCCATACATATTCTAAAGTTGTTCTTACATGTGTTTGGCTTATTTTGGCTTTGTTGAACTGTTTATGTTGTTCTTACATGTGTTCACGTTGTATTTTGTTGAACTTTGTTTTGGATTACTTGAATTTTGCTAGACAATTTCGAAAAAAGATTTAGAGAAGTTCGTATTATATCCGTATTTAGAACAATACATTAAGAATTGATATGCAGTTTCTGGGATTTACGAAATTCTGGCGAGTACGAGGCATTCTAGAATTGGAATGGATTTTTGAATTCCAATTTGTTTTTGAACGATAAGTGAAACGCATCTTTAACTTCCGGAAAAAAAAAAAAATATTTCCTAAGAAGCCATTTCCTATCCGCCTCGTCCGACTTTCACCCTACACATGTGTAATTACTAGTAGGGTTATTTGTGGGTTGGGTTTGGTTGATTATCGGCCAACAAACCAACCCCCGATCCACAAACTGACTTTGTAAATATTGAGAACATGTTTGAAATTAATTTTCCAGTTCTATTTTTTTCGAATAATATTTAATTATCAGTGGGCTTTCACAGACTGTTTTGCTCATGCTACCGCATCGTTGGTATCTTTTGAGATACAACGGGTCAATCGATCTTATAGAAACTATGAAGCTTCAATTTAGCATATAGTAGATCAAACTTTCAAATCAAAGGTAGATGGAGTCGTATCCTTGTACAAATATTTTGGACCAGGTGATGATGATTATGAATATTGCGACGAAAGCGATATGACCTTTTATGATTGTGACGCGATTGCACCATTGTCTTATGTGCAACGCTATGGGGTGTGTCTTGCATCGGATCATCCGTATCTTTTAGGCGCTTTTGATAGAAATGCTCAGTCCCCCATTGTAAGTATTTTAGATATATTTATTGAATATTCTTGCAAAAATAATTTAATTAATATCGATTATTTTTTTTGAAAGGTTTCCGAGAAGATTAAGGTACGGAAAATCGTACTTCTCGGAGGAAGTCACATTGAGGCCAAGAAAGCCATTGACCGGGGACATCCCTTCATTGGTGGGATTACTGTGTTTCCTGACTTGGGAACTTTTGAGGGAAAGGTAAATTTTTTTTTTATTTTTTTTCTAGCTATAACAAAATAACTTATTAATAGCTTCTTTTTTATCCTTAACAACGAATGTTACAGGGTATCTATCGGAACAAGTTGAAAAATAAAAATAAAAATTGGGCGCGGCATGCAGTTTTGGTTGTAGGATATGGTGTGACTTTTAGCGGGGAGGAATATTATATAGTTCAAAATTCCTGGGGAGACGACTGGGGGGACAATGGATTAGGGAAAATTAGTTGTGAACTAATTGACCCACAAGTATTCGTTGATGAGGCTTACGTTGAGGTGTGTATTTGTGTTTAAATTTATTTCATAATTAGATTTATCTATTTTAATTGAATTATTTAATTCATAATAATCTTCTTTTCTTTTTCTTTTTTCCAGATGTCTTGAGCTACCAAAATGGATTCTTTGAATGACCAAGTATTAATGGAAGCAAGTGCATCAAATTGACAAGTTCTTTTGAGTATTTATTATTTATTTTGCTATATTGACTTGAGTTGTGTTTGTAGTAAGTCTGTTCGAAATATTTTTCTAGATTTCTGTGAGTTTAAAATTTGATGGATTCTCTTTATCAATCATGCAAGATTTGATTTGCCTATCTTGCTGCCTACATGGTCCCAGTCATGTTGGAATACATACATATATAGATATTTTTATGTGTTAATTTTTTTTTTGTTACAAGTAATTGGACAAGCACAAGATTGGCCGAAATAAACGAAATACGAATCTCAAAACATAAAGTAGACAAGCACAAGATTGGCCGAAATAAACGAAATAAGAATCTCAAAACATAAATTGGACAAGCACAAGATTGGTCGACATAAACGAAATACGAATCTCAAAACATAAATTGGACGAGCACAAGATTGGTCGACATAAACGAAATACGAATCTCAAAACATAAAGTAGACAAGCACAAGATTAGTCGAAATAAACGAAATAAGAATCGCAAAACATAATGTGTACAAGCACAAGATTGGTCGAAATAAACGAAATAGGAATCTCAAAACATAAATTGGACAAGCACAAGATTGGTCGACATAAACGAAATACGAATCTCAAAACATAAATTGGACGAGCACAAGATTGGTCGAAATAAACGAAATACGAATCGCAAAACATAAAGTCGACAAGCACAAGATTAGTCGAAATAAAAGAAATAAGAATCGCAAAACGTAAAGTGGACAAGCACAAGATTGGTCGAAATAAACGAAACAAGAATCTCAAAACATAAATTGGACAAGCACAAGATTGGTCGAAATAAACGAAATAGGAATCTCAAAACATAAATTGGACAAGCACAAGATTGGACACAATAAAAAACAAGAATCTCAAAATATAAATTGGACAAGCACAAGATTAGACGCAATAAACGAAATAAGAATCTCAAAACATAAATTGGCAAGCACAAGATTGGACGCAATAAACGAAACAAGAATCTCAAAACATAAATTGGACAAGCACAAGATTGGTCGACATAAACGAAATAGGAATCTCAAAACATAAATTGGACGAGCACAAGATTGGTCGAGATAAACGAAATAAGAATCGCAAAAACATAAAGTGTACAAGCACAAAATAAATAAGAGTAGCATTGTTCCAGCCTTACACTAGGCATTCACCTCCACACACACCATCATTTTTTGTTTTTGTTTTTTTTTCAAAAATACAAAAGGATTCTAGATGAACACAAACAAAACTAGTTAATATTCCAAAAGCATATATACATATATATATATATATATATATAAATAGTTTCTCTGAACCTGGAGGAGGCTGTAATCACCTGCAAATGAAAAAATCCCTAAAGGTGTTAAATGCTAGTAAATGCATGCATATATATATATATATATATATATATATATATATATATATATATATATATATATATATATATATATATATATATATATATATATATATATATATA